CCCTCCCCCTTCCCCTCCTGGAGGGGCAGGCACTTTCCCCCACCTCCCCTGCCCTGCCCTACCATAGTCCCAGCCCCAGACGCCCTACTCCTCCAACCCCCGCCCCACACACTTGTGTGCATTCAGCTGCAGAGCTGCACACAGATGCATGTGGTGCCCCCTGCCTCCAATTGCCCTCCCCCTGCTTCCACCAGTGAAGCAAAGCAAAGCAAAGCAAAGCAAACAAAATCCCAGACGTTTGTTCAGATTTCTAAAAACCAGCCAGATCTATGGTAACCCTACCACTATGCCCATCATACAGATGCTTTCTCAATGCAGAAATGAAGTCATGATGGTTTGAATCCAGGCCTGTTTGGGTCTTACTTAGACCCCTTTCCTATTAAATTACCAATTACTAGAAAATATTGGGTCATTCCAGACTGAGAGCGATGTTCATCCAGGGCATGATGCTTTTTATTTACAGTGGGTCTGCACCTGTAGTCTACTACTTGATAGGAGTCATTAGTAAAGTGAAGACTCTGGCAGAACAAGAATTAAATTGTTTTGGTAATTCTCTCTCTTTGCTACCCTGAAAATCAGTGCTGGAAGTTGCTGATATTTTTTTTTTCTTTTTACAAATGATCTAAAAACAGGTTTCTAAAACACACTCTTTCTTGTGCAGTAGTTTTAAAAATGACTTTGGAAAATCCTCTCTCGGGTATGCAGTTTCCTGCTACAGTAGACTAGTTCAACTAACCAACTCTGTACCCTGAAGATCTAAGATGGAGATCTTCTATCCCCAGCAGTCCCTAAAAGCCTGTCAGATAAGACCCCTCTCTTCCTCTACAGCCACTGTGATAAGCCACACGTGGTTTGCCTCTGAAAAAGAAATGCTCCCAGACACTTTACAGACTAAAAAAAAGTGGAGCTCCTTAACTGCCTCCTTTCGTATGTGCTGTATTTTCTTTGCTGTGATGTGGCTTAGGGTCTGATTTTTTGCTACAGTGCCAGGTGGAGGATACTAGTTTCCCTTTTGCTGCCTGTAATAAAGTCAGAATGACCATGCCATGGTATGGTATGGTATGGTATAAATTTCGTTTCTAACTGAAAACTGGAATAATTCTAGCTTTTGGACATTTTCTGTTTTGAAGCTCTAAAAGGGTTTGGGCTCTGGAGAAATCTGGAATCCTCTACATTTTGTTCTGCCTTTAGTTACACCTGTGTAAAGCCAGGGAGGACAAAGGATTTAAGTGTAATTGAAAGTATAATCAGAAGCCAATGGGAGTCATGTTGCCAGGATCTTTGTTGTGTGTGTTGATACCAGAGATAGTGCTGGTCAGTACTGCGTGCCTCCCCCCTACTCCGACTCCGGTTTTGGCAGCAGGGAGGGCCTAAAAGTGGCAGTGGAACAGTGGAAAAGCAGCCAGTGGTTTGTTGTTGTGAGGGAGTAGGAAGGATGCCATCCCCTTTTCCCCCACCACTACGTATAGAGTAGACAAAAATGTTTTTTGGCTGCAAAAAAGGGGGGTGGCGTCATGTTTTCCCTGCCTCTCCTCCCCTTCCTCCAGCTCCTCCATCACACCTCTACTACTTCTCTTCCCTCCCTGCTACACAGGAGGGTGAGGTGGGCCCCGCTGCAATTTGCCAGTGCCCATGGCTTGTGCCCTGCTCCCCTTGCCCCCACCCATTTCCCTACTAGTTGATACCAAATGCCATTCAGACTCTTCAATCCCCAGCTGAGTTTGCAGAGCTTTTGGTTAAGATTCCCCCTACTGAGATCTAACGCAACTGAGATCTAACGCAAGAAACAGAACCAAAGCTTGCTTTAAGGTTGTAACCAATGCTAAGGTAGATTTCCTGCCCCTCAAAAGGCATAGTAAATAGGATCAGAATTTTTCATATATTCTAGGTTTTCAAAAAAGCCCTGATTAGTTGTATCTTGCAGCACAGTTTGAGAACACTAAAGCAATCATTTTAAGCCACAAAGTTACATACAGCTCCAAAGTTTCCCAGCATCTGGGGGTGGAGGTGGGGCTGAGAGCTCATCTCTAATGATGGTGATGATGCAACTTTCCCGACAGCTCTGTTTATTTCAGCTGTTGCACTCTGCTGTCATTTCAAACGCAGCTGTACACAGAAAAAGTAAAAATGGCATCTTACTCCACGTTTGTGCTTCCTGCTTCTTGGGTCCTATCTGCTTACTTTGCTGATAAAAATAAGTTGCTCCTATTGCCTGCAATGCAGCCTAAGAGCAAGCTGGATTCATTTTGCTTCCTACATCATGAATGTTCTGACTGCATCACTTGTGATGAGGTAAGGAGAGGAAATAAACACTGCCTGACTTGCAGTTTGAGTCATCAGCAATGGCTGTTGGGGGGGGAAAAAAGCTCTCTGTTGATTTACAAACTGAACAAAACTTTGTCTGAAACTCAGTGGGGTCCCCCCTCATTGTATTCTTCTTCTGATTAACTTTGGGTATCTTCAGATTGATTTTAGGTAACTCCTTTCCTCTGCACTGAATATCTGTAACTTAACTGTTTTCCTATGGAGAGCTGAATAGTCTTTTAGCTTGTTTCAGCCTACTTTATCTTTTGCTACTTAATTATTTCCAACTGACAGGTAATGTCTCGTCTGAAAAGCTGAAAATTATGAGTAAAAAGATTTCTTCTTGCTTGAGACATACAGCCGACAGACACTAAACAGTGCTTGCGGCTGCCTTTCCAATATGTTTGGTGCAGTTCCCACCATTTCCCACTACATAAGAAGAAGAAAATACACCAATGTACAGGGATGACTTGGCAGAGCCCCAGAGAGGAGCAGTGCATCCGTGTTACATCCTGCTCTTCTCAAAGAAGCCCGTCTATGCAAATAGCATGCTCTTCTGAGTGCAACTGCTCTGGCCACAACAAACTTGCTAAATGATCAGCAACCTGTAGCACAAGAAAAAGCTTCTGCTGGCCACAAGATCATGCCCAGTCCTGTGAGCTGAGTCAAGAGATGTAACGCATTCCTTAGTCTCCCATGCAGGGTAGTTAGGGGAGAACAATCCTTATAAAGCATTCCCTGGCCTCCCTTCCAGAGGGCTGGGGCTGGGGAAAACTGACTTTGCATAAATCAGCATGGCTGTGTAGCAGTTTTGGGAGGTGGCACCAACACCTATCTAGTTCAAGATTCACAGACACTAACACCCAAAAGTTCTTCCTCAGGCAATTAAATGTTGTTGGTTGTAGACTTGTTTGTCTAAGGACATAGGCAGACAAGGTTCTTTGGGTAGATGTGATATCTTTTATTAGACCAACTAAGTAGTTGGAAAAATTGTTCTTTGCAAGCTTTCAGGCACAAACGCCCTTCTTCAGGCATAGCGTGAATTCTTCAAGCAATGACACCCAACAGTCTTTTCACCAAGTCACCAGGTTCATGATAATGGTCCCTATCCTACTGCTGGTAGGGAAGAAATAGTGGGGTCACCATGCTCCACAAGCCCCAGTCCAGGGCCCTGGACACTGAGGCTACTAGGCCAGTTTCACTGCTCCCATATCACTGCTCCCAGCCATTTCTGTACCTCCCAGCTGCAGTTCTTGACAGTCTTTACCGATAGCTCCTCTGGGAGCTGTCCAACACCAACCCTCCAGGACAAGCACATCTTTCTAAACCTCCCTACCACGTGTCCTTCTTCCTTTGATTTAAGCCATATGTAGTCCAGAGGGTGGAGCTAGAAATAGGCAGACCTCATCATCTTAAAGGATCCCCTTCCCAAGGATGGAAGAATTTTGCACCTCTGGAACGGGGTTTCCTTAGTCCATCACTGCACCATTAAGTTTATATTATAGGGACAAGGAACCATCTGGAAGACTTGTTGTGATAGATTTTGACTCAGTCTTGAATTAGACACCCTCACTTCTCCTGGTAGCCACCTTGGAATGTGTGTTGCTTATACCATCCAATCATCTTTGGCTTACTGGAAGATATTTAAATCACCATACAGTATTTTGATCACCATACAGAAAATAGGGAAATGTTTGTTTTTTAAACTAGAAGCAAGGCTTTGCTGTTTGTAATCCAAACTCTAATAGTATCTTGGTCTTTGGTGTTGGCTACCCTTTAACATTTTAGTGATTCAGTCTTGCCAACTTTAAACTGAAACAAAACCCCAATCCTTAACTAATATTCATAAACTACTTCTGAGAGCCAGCTTAAAATGGGGGGTGGGGTGTAATCACAAAACATAAATAAAAGAACACAAGCCTATTTTATACTTCTAATATAACAAACTGTTAGTCACTTACAGGGCAAAGCACACAACTCTGAATATAATTCTTACTGCCGGTCTCTCGGACTCTTAGGTTAAATTTCCACAAATCAATTTTCATTTTAAAACGCACTTAATTGAGGACAGTATCATAATTAAAAACAATTATTTAGTTCAATCTCAATTCTGTTGTGTCAACCTGATTAAACTGGCCATGCACATATGGGGAAAGGAGATGTAAATTGTCACTGAATATCCACAATTAAACAATTTATGGAAGGTTGTTGCAATTTAGTGTGCAACAAGAAGCCTCCACACTCCTGGCTGTGCCAGGTTACAAAATGGATTTGTTTATAAGTATTAATTTCATTCACTCTTATTAATAAACATAATGCATACAACTAGAATTTCATCTTCACAGGATTTCATAGAATCATAGAAGTAGCGTCAGAAGGGACCTTGTAGACCTTCAAGTCCGACCCCCTGCCTGGGCAGGAGAAAAAACTGGGCTCAAATGACTCCATCCAGGTAGGCATCAAGCCTCTTCTTAAAACCCCCAGGGTAGGAGCCAGCACCACTTCCCTTGGAAGTTGGTTCCAGATCCTAGCCGCCCTAACTGTGAAGTAGTTCTTACGGATGTCTAATCTAAACCTACTCTCCAACAACTTGTG